ACCACCAACGACAGCCACAACCAACGACAGCCACAACCAACGACAGCCATCAATGACGGCCACCACCAACGACAGCCACAACCAACAACAGCCATCAATGACAGCCACCACCACCGACAGCCACCACCAACAACAGCCATCAATGACAGCCACCACCAACGACAGCCACCACCAACAACAGCCATCAATGACAGCCACCACCAACGACAGCCACCACCAACGACAGCCACCACCAACAACAGCCATCAATGACAGCCACAACCAACAACAGCCATCAACCAACGACAGCCATCAATGACAGCCACAACCAACAACAGCCATCAATGACAGCCACCACCACCGACAGCCACCACCAACAACAGCCATCAATGACAGCCACCATCAACGACAGCCACCACCAACAACAGCCATCAATGATAGCCACCACCAACAACAGCCATCAATGACAGCCACAACCAACGACAGCCACAACCAACCAGCCAACCAACGACAAGCCATCACCATGACAGCCACCACCAACAACAGCCATCAACGACAGCCACAACCAACGACACCAACCAGCGACAGCCATCAATGACAGCCACCACCAACAACAACAATGACAGCCACCATGACAGCACACCACCAACAAACAGCCATCAATGACAGCCACCACCAACGACAGCCACATAGCCCCACCGACAACAGCCATCAATGACAGCCACCACCAACGACAGCCACCAACAACAGCCACAACCATGACAGCCACCAACCAACGACAGCCATCAATGACAGCCACCACCAACGACAGCCCACAGCCACCACCAACAACAGCCATCAATGACAGCCACCACAGACGACAGCCACCAACAACAACAGCCATCAATGACAGCCACCACCAACAACAGCCACAAGACAGCCATCAATGACAGCCACCACCAACGACAGCCATCAATGACAGCCACCACAGACGACAACAACAACGACAGCCATCAATGACAGCCCACCACCAACAACAATGACCACCACACACAACAACGACAGCCATCAATGACAGCCACCACCAACGACAGCCATCAATGACAGCCACCACAGACGACAGCCACCAACAACGACAGCCATCAATGACAGCCACAACCAACGACAGCCATCAATGACAGCCACCACAGACGACAGCCACCAACAACGACAGCCATCAATGACAGCCACCACAGACGACAGCCACCAACAACGACAGCCATCAATGACAGCCACCACCAACAACAGCCATCAATGACAGCCACCACCAACAACAGCCACAACCAACGACAGCCATCAATGACAGCCACAACCAACGACAGCCATCAATGACAGCCACCAACAACGACAGCCATCAATGACAGCCACCACCAACGACAGCCATCAATGACAGCCACCACCAACAACAACGACAGCCATCAAGCCACCACAGACGACAACAGCCATCAATGACAGCCAATGACAGCCCAACAACGACAGCCACAAACAGCCACAAACAACGACAGCCATCAATGACAGCCACCACAACGACAGCCACAATGACAGCCACCACAACCATCAATGACAGCCACCAACAACGACAGACAGCCACCACAGACGACAGCCACCAACAACACAGCCATCAATGACAGCCATCAATGACAGCCACACACCAACGACAGCCATCAATGACAGCCAGCCACACACCAAACAACAGACGACAGCCATCAATGACAGCCACCAACAACGACAGCCATCAATGACAGCCACCACAGACGACAGCCATCAATGACAGCCACCAACAACGACAGCCATCAATGACAGCCACAACCAACGACAGCCATCAATGACAGCCACCACAGACGACAGCCACCAACAACGACAGCCATCAATGACAGCCACAACCAACGACAGCCATCAATGACAGCCACAACCAACGACAGCCACAACCAACAACAGCCACAACCAACAACAGCCATCAATGACAGCCACCACCAACAACAGCCATCAATGACAGCCACCACCAACAACAGCCATCAATGACAGCCACCACAGACGACAGCCACCAACAACGACAGCCATCAATGACAGCCACCACAGACGACAGCCACCAACAACGACAGCCATCAACGACAGCCACCAACAACGACAGCCATCAATGACAGCCACAACCAACGACACGACGACAGCCCACCAACAACAGCCACAACCAACAACAGCCATCAATGACAGCCACCACCAACGACAGCCATCAATGACAGCCACCACCAACAACAGCCATCAATGACAGCCACCACCAACAACAGCCATCAATGACAGCCACCACCAACAACAACAACAGCCACCACAACGACACAGCCAACGACACCATCAATGACAGCCATCAATGACAGCCACCAACCACCAGCCATCAATGACAGCCACCACAGACGACAGCCACCAACAACGACAGCCATCAATGACAGCCACAACCAACGACAGCCATCAATGACAGCCACAACCAACGACAGCCACAACCAACGACAGCCACAACCAACAACAGCCACAACCAACGACAGCCACAACCAACAACAGCCACAACCAACGACAGCCACAACCAACAACAGCCACAACCAACGACAGCCACAACCAACGACAGCCACAACCAACGACAGCCACAACCAACAACAGCCACAACCAACGACAGCCACAACCAACAACAGCCACAACCAACGACAGCCACAACCAACGACAGCCATCAATGACAGCCACCGCCAGTGGGTGTAAAAATACAAAAACATCAATGATTTGGATACTCATGAACCATTGTGACTTTGGCGCTTCCCTCTGCAGTATTTCTTCCATGACGCAGGCACCTTCAGCAGCTGAGACCTACTCTCAACAGGAACACATTCCAGCAGCAACAGTCATTCACAGAAAAGATAGCTGCACACTTTCATCTGGGAGACACTGTGTTGTTTGTGTCGAATGAACCCGAGCCATTTTTCGGCACGTTATGTATAGGCGGCGAGGGAAGACATTTCATAATGCCGCTAGAACATAGGACAACCTGTGGGAACCGCTACAAAATCTAACAGCTGACAAGATGTGGTGACTTTCATTAATAGTACCGATTTTCTTTCTTTTTTCTTTTCTCTTTAAACATAATGTGTACTAAAGTTTATGTGGCATGCATCCTTATGCATTTTATACAGGTATATAACTTCTTTTCCAGTTAATATTTTGTTATTTCATCACTTGCTAAAATGTCATTCTCTTGATCTTTGTTATTTTACGACCTTTCTCTCTGGACTGTCACATATGATCTAGATTCTTATTTTGATATGCCTGTCGCTGCTCGATGAATGATGTAGTCATTGAGCTTTGTTACCGTTGTAATTTGTATTGCTTTTTGTTTCACACAAATTTTTTCATAAATTGCGGGTGCCATTCCATCATAGCTCCTGAATGCAGTAAATACTTTGAGAGGTGGTTCGCTATTCAAATATAATTTACTGTTTGTATTTTCATCTGTGTCTGATTCCACTGATTTTCTTTCTCCCTGTTTGTATATCAGGTGTTGTTATAGTGTTTCAAATGTCATATTTAAATTGTATATATCATCATCTTGTGCTGTTATATGTGACGTAGGACTCCATTCCGTTGTCCTGCACATTCCTTTTGCTATCTTGCCCAGCACTTTTAGCCATCTCATCAACCTTTGTTTTAGGGTTTCTTTCAAACCTCATCATTTCCTTAATCCATTTATTTCTTGTTTCCGTGCCTGTTTTACTATTCTCTGCTCATTTATCAGGATATTTCCAGTATCCAGTATGTTTCCAGTATGTTTGCTAACACTGCTGCTAATGTTGTCACAGATGTTTGCTAACACTCCTGCTAATGTTGTCACGGATGTTTGCTAACACTGCTGCTAATGTTGTCACAGATGTTTGCTAACACTCCTGCTAATGTTGTCATGGATGTTTGCTAACACTCCTGCTAATGTTGTCACGGATGTTTGCTAACACTGCTGCTAATGTTGTCACAGATGTTTGCTAACACTCCTGCTAATGTTGTCATGGATGTTTGCTAACACTCCTGCTAATGTTGTCACAGATGTTTGCTAACACTCCTGCTGATGTTGTCATGGATGTTTGCTAACAATGCTGCTAATGTTGTCAGGGATGTTTGCTAACACTGCTGCTGATGTCATGGATGCTGCTGATAATGATTTCATTTGTCTGAGTAAAAAAAATTTCTTATTATTGTAGACAAAAAACTTTTCTTCATTCTTTTCTAAAATTCATTTCTGTCCTGAAATTTATTTTTCAACATCCACTGCTAATTACTGCCACTTTTGCCGTGTAGGTGGGTGGGGGGGGTTGAGCCTGAGGGTTTACGGCCACATAGCTAGTGCTGTTGCCATGAATGTGCAAGTGAAGATTTTATTTTGCTCCTGACAGGAAAACAAATCGCCAGCCTTACTGAGGATTCGAACTTGGGTCTCCCGCTTGTGAGCCCAGCCACTTCTCTTAACATCCATTACTTTTCTGAAATTATATATACTACTCTATAATAAACAGTTTTACCCACCAAATAAACAGTACTACCCTATAATAAACAGTTTTACCAACCAAATAAACAGTTTTTACCCACCAAATAAACAGTACATAATAAACAGTTACCCACCAAATAAACAGTTTTACCCACCAAATAAACAGTTTTACCCACCAAATAAACAGTTTTCCCCACCAAATAAACAGTTTTACCCACCAAATAAACAGTTTTTACCCACCAAATAAACAGTACTACCCTATAATAAACAGTTTTTACCCACCAAATAAACAGTTTTACCCACCAAATAAACAGTACTACCCTATAATAAACAGTTTTACCCACCAAATAAACAGTTTTACCCACCAAATAAACAGTTTTTTACCCACCATAACCCTGTAAATGACAATGTCATTTGCTGGATCCAATGAAAACCATCACAGATCAATGTTCCAAACACAACTAAATCCAGCAGATCATGGGCCTCCTCCTCAGCTGTAGTCCTCCCTGGGGTAACCTCTGTAGACAATGTTGAAGATGACAGCAAATCCAAGCAAAGCCATGAACATAAATAAGTTGCACCAGCCGGCACCATCTTGCCATGGGTATCTCTTGTGGTCTTTGAGAAATGCTTGGCCCAGCAACAGACCTGTCGAGTGTGACAACAGCATTAATGCTGATCATAACAGATTATCAATTCAGATATAGACAATTTATTTCATGCGAACGAAAGAAGAAGATTATCAATTGTAATAATATGCACGCACACACACACACACACACACAGTAAGACCTTGTTAACACAAACTCATATAAGAAGAACATTAAGTTAATACAAACAAAATCATAGGATAGGATATAATAATGTTATCAGTCCCCAGTCAGCATTTAAAAATGAACACAATTTTTGGTCCCTTGAATTTGTGTTAACCATGTTTTATTATTATTATTCCTCCTCATTATTTCTTACCGTACCGAGAAGCACGCCAAAGGCCTGTCTATACTGATGGACATGGGGGTGCAGCTTGGAGCTGCAAGAAATAAATAGTTCACTAAGGGGACAAGACGTTTCCATTAACCAATACAAAACTGGTGTCATCAGTCATTTTACACTTCTGGAGCTTTTGAGGAGGAGACCGGAACACCTATAGATCTGTCCAGAGTGTTGTGATATAATCTTTTCTAATAACTATTATTTATTCCTCCTTCCAGTTTAAAAACACAATTCTTTGAAAAAATGAAATACAAACGTCAACAAACATTGCAATGCTGTCTGAGAAAAACATTCTATGCATTTCATCCTTGCTGACTTCAGACATGATTGTGGTCACATCCATCACAAGTCCTCACAGATGGTCAGTGCAAGCCAGTCTCCCAACACCATCTACCCTGAATTTTCACTTTTCATGGTCAGTTCAACATAAATGTCACAAACCTGTTTTTCAAATATAAACTTCACTAACATGTCACTAAACACAAACCTGTTTATCGAATAAAAACCTCACAAAGCTATCAATCACCATACATAAATCTTACAAAGCCCTCAATCACCATATATAAACCTCACAAAGCCCTCAATCACCATATAAACCTCACAAAGCTATCAATCACCATATATAAAACTCACAAAGCCCTCAATCACCATATATAAACCTCACAAAGCCCTCAACCTCACAAAGCCCTCAATCACCATATATAAACCTCACAAAGCCCTCAATCACCATATATAAACCTCACAAAGCCCTCAATCACCATATCACAAACCTGTCAGTAAGCCTCCTGCGTGGGCAATGATACCCACTCTGCCCTCGTAGTCGTCGGAGTAGAACCAGCGCCTGTAGCAAGCGATGACTGCTTGTGGGATGACTGAAGAAGCAACACAGAGATGATGATACAGTGACTGGCTGGCCATATGACTATCTGAACATGGTATACAGGACAGTTGTTGTTTTTCCACCCAACTAACCTGCAGCTTTATATCAGGAAATCTGTTCCTGGTGCGTTTAATCCCCCTTGGTGCATAGGCCCTCATCCATCTTTGGTCCCCACTGGAGCATACCCCCATCATCCATCTTTGGTCCCCACTGGACCATATCTTTGGTCCCCCACTCCAGAAACATTTTTGGTCCCCCACTGGATCATACCCCCCCCCCCTTTCAACCATCTTTGTCCCCACTGTCCAACCATCTTTGGTCCCCACTGGACCATACTCCCATCAACCATCCCCCTCCATAACCTCAAACATCTTTGGTCCCCCTGGAGCATGCTCTCTGAAACATCCCCACTGGACCCCCCCCCCCTCCTCAACCATCTTTGGTCCCCACTGGATCATACCCCCCCCTCCTCAACCATCTTTGGTCCCCACTGGACCATACCCCCATCAACCATCTTTGGTCCCCACTGGACCATACCCTCCTGAAACATCTTTGGTCCCCACTGGAACATAACCCCTCGACCAAATTTGGTCCTCCTGTGACTCAGCCTTCTGACCAGTCTTCCTTTACAGTGATATACTTCGCAGTTCCTACAAATTCTTTAGAAATCATTAATATTTCACTCACTTCCACAGTACGCTCTCTTGGTTTCTATACTTGCCCACTAACTGAAGATGTCTTGAAAGAAACTGGCCCATGAAGAGAACTGATTGCCCACATCAGAAAGAGACAATCTACATTCTTTGGTCATGTGATGAAAGGGAGAAAACTAGAGTATATCATGACAGAAGGGAAGTTGATGGAGACCGAAAGAACAAATGCTGGACAGTCTGACATCACAGCATGGATGATCATCTGTGTCAGAGCTAACTGAGAAAGTACACGAGACAGAAAGTTGTTGATAGACATGACAACAAATGCCACACGGCATGGACTTTAAGAACAAGAATAGTATTTTCATAATCCTCATCAAACCACATCTCTGTAGCTGCAAAATAATTTTAATAATTTACCAACTGTCCATGATTCACTTCCATATCAAATTAAGGTTACATGTAAGGAAATACATATAAAGATGAGATAATAAACTTGTAGCTTACAGATGAGCAACATCAGAACGATTCTCAGGGTGATGCTGCACAAGAACCTCTTCTGTTTGCTCTCAGTCTGGTCATTATTGAGATGTTTGCGGTTCTGAAAGTGATAGGGTGGATGTCGGGAGTGACGGTTACTCATTTCCATCATGGCTGTCACATAATTCTGTCAGACTCAGCCAGTGTGCAATGTGCAGCTCACTGCTGTCTGTGTTCTGTAATATCTTTTATATTTGGTCTCAGCAAACTAAAGAAATCTGGTTAGTTAGTTAACGTGCAGTCCAGTGAATGCTCTATACAGGCTGCGTTTTCCTAGGGCCTCATAGCAGGGGAAACAAAGAACAGACCCCTAATAAACATGTTAGAAAATGTGTGTTTCCTTCAAATATGGAATGCAAAAAGTGAATGGACGTTGCTCAGTGTGGCAAAACCTGGCAATGATATTACAATATCTAGTTTGAGAATGGAGGTGGAGGCAGTCACTGCTGTTTTCTGGTGGCCTGAGAATCATCTGTACACACATGTCGTAATTGTAACTAACTAACAGATTAGGTGAAGACAGGTATGCTCCGTGTAGAGTGGGCAGCATTACTCCTTTGGATATTTTTCTCCAGGTTTTTCCTGTGTGTTGGGAAAAGAACAGGCAGATAGACTGGCCGGCTCCGCATCACTTGGTGGTGTAATGATGTGTGACAAGCTAGATACTGTGACTGCTCTTTGGGATTGAGTGAACAGTGCGGAGGAACAGATAGATCATTACAGTCTTAGGAGATTGGCACTGCGAGGAGTTACCAGGGAATCTGACAGACACTTAACACTCAGGGGAAAGGTGAGACACATATACAATCAGACAGTTACTGGTGACACAGGAATTGAAACTCTTCGCTTGCTGCTGACGATGGGGACGGAGCACTTATGGGAGTGTCCAGAGCGCTGTGATGATGATTCCTAATTCATCATGCATCTGCCTGAGAGGTGAGGAACCAACAGTCTGCATACTACAAATAAGACAGATCTGCAAAATGAATCCGCAGGCAAAACTCAAGTTCCAGAATAGTGGTCTCCAACCTGGTGGCCGCCAGGAGGTTTGGGAAAGGGGGGGGTGTGGACTTCAAACAATTTTGGTAATTGAGTATTTGTATGTATATATGTATTTTATAATTATCTGTTACATTGGTTTTTTCATTTTAATTATACAAAAATATTTTTTTTAACTATTTAAGAAACAAAAAAGCTTAGGACATTTTGTTAGCACATTATGACCCAAAACGTATCCCTATAATTGTCTGTCTGCCTCGCTGTTCAATCTATTGTCCACCTCTTTAAAATCACATATTGTTATGTTGGCTGAGGAGGAAGGGTGGCATAGTTGTCTAGCCATATACTCAACAGAGAAGTAGAGGGGGGCACGGAGGGTCTTGCCATACACTCAACAGGGAGAGGGTCACGGAGGGTCTTGCCATATATACTCAAGGAAGGTGCGACCAGAAAAAGGTTGGAGACCAATGTTCTAAAAAAAGTCCAGACGCAGACGAACAACCATAAACTTTCCACTAGAATATAAAGCTGATGAATACTAACGAGAAGAAGCTATTTTCAAGTTCTGCTTCGAAAGCAAAACACTCATACTTTGTTTCACTGTAGTTATGTCCCCTTATGGCATCTGGTGCAAAATGTTCTAGGAACTGAAAGTGTTCCGATATGTAACATCAAGGTCAGAGGTCAGATATATGTAGAATAACATCCAGGTCAAAGGTCAGACATGTACAAGTAACGTCCAGGCCAAACTGGCCCCAGGCAAGGGCATGACTGAAAGTTTAAGACAAAAGTGTTTAGGATTGAACAGTTGCCCGGTTTGATCCTGACACACGGCTGAGATATTTGTACACAGACAACTGGTTTCTCAAGCTGTGGAGTGACTCAGATACCTAACCTTGTGCAGGTGTGGGCTGGTGGCCCAGTAAGCAGACTCCATATTCTCAGAATGTACTCATAATTATATAGTAGAGGCAGTCACTTTCCCTGTGGCCAGAATGTTTGCCTGTCAGTGCGAAAGTTATAGATTCAGACCCTAACAAAGCAGATTGTTAAAGGTTCCTAGGTTCACTAAGTCTAGAAGTGGTGCCAGGAAATGTTGTGGGGAGCAAATGTGGCCAGCGTAAAAATGATCAGATTGCCCATCAAGTAGTGACTGGTCTATAACCATATAGCACTAACACCATATTCACGATTCACTGTAGGTGTATTACCTCTACAAAACAGGAAGTGATAAAGAAAGGGTAGACAACTCGCTAATTTACTAAACATTTACCATTTCTTAATAGTTTGGGTGAAAACAGATCCAGATTCGCTACATCTGCACCAATGGTTATGAACTGATGCATGATGGGGCGGACGTGGTCAGGGCCCTTTGAGAACAAGCAACGGAGTCAGAGGAGAAACTGGATTATTATGGCCCGAAGAGAATGAGGCACCTGGGTGTAACCAGAGGGTCTGTCTGGCTTAAAAACAGAGGAAAGGCAAGACAAACATATAACCAGACAACTACTGGCACCACTAGTATTGGTACTATGTGCTGGTTGCTGAAGATAGGGATGGAGCGCAAATTGGAATACCCCAAGTACTGTGATGTCAATTCTTGACTCAACTGAACTTAACTTTCGTTGAAAACAGGAATGTTGAAGTCAAAATGGGAAATAAAAATAAAATGATAATACTATAAAAAAGATAATATAAGAGACAACTTCTGGCCACATTTAAGATATAACTACCTGAAAATGTAAAACAAAAAATAATAACGATGTGCCTACAGTTGAGTTGAGTTGAGTCAAAAACTGACATCACAGCACTCCGTCCTGTGAATACATCCTGACAACAGAAAGACCAGATGCCAAGAAGGACGATTCCAGAGACAGCAAGCTAAACGCCCTGGCACTTAGACATGAGGAAACATCAAGATAAATATAACTGTAGTGCAAGACACAGAAATACTGGACAACAGTAATACAGCAACGCTAGTGCAGACATTCACTGAAGTATCACAGGCAAGGTACATTCACTGAAGTATCACAGGCAAGGTACATTCACTGAAGTATCACAGGCAAGGTACATTCACTGAAGTATCACTGGCAAGGTACATTCACTGAAGTATCACAGGCAAGGTACATTCACTGAAGTATTACAAGCAAGGTACATTCACTGAAGTATTACAAGCAAGGTACATTCACTGAGGCATCACAGGCAAGGTACATTCACTGAGGCATCACAGGCAAGGTACATTCACTGAAGTATTACAAGCAAGGTACATTCACTGAAGTATCACTGGCAAGGTACATTCACTGAAGTATCACAGACAAGGTACATTCACTGAAGTATCACAGACAAGGTAAATTCACTGAGGTATTACAGGTACTACATTCACTGAGGTATTACATGTACTACATTCACTGAGGTATCACAGGTACGTACATTCACACACAAATACCTGAATGAGTGATATGATGTGAGCGGCCATGATGGCATATGCTCCACCAGCTGCCCCTGTAAGGCCGACGTAATGGTCTATGATAGACTGGGCCAGGGAGCCTGCAGAAAGTAGGCCAAAATAACTTTTACACAAATTGAACACCTCTGAGCTAGTCAATATTATTGGGTCTTGTCTTGTCTTGTCCACAATTGCCTCACAGCGTAGTGGGGAGTCGCAGTTTTCTATCCTGGGCCAGGTGTGTTGCACGTGTCGTTGTTAGTCCGTGTTGCCTCAGGATCTCTGATATATTGTCTATCCATCATACTCTTGGCCTGCCTCTTGTTCTAGGGCAGTAGTGCTGTTCGTTGTATGCTCGTAGAGGCAGCTGGTCGGTTTGCATTCGCATCAAGTGGCCAAACCACTCTATTTGTTGCTTCTTTATGTATTGCAGGCATGGTGTGGTTCCTACAATTGCTCTAATGTTCTCGTTTCGAACTCTGTCTCTCCTTGTGACATTGGCAGCCTTACGTAAGCATCTCATTTCGCACGTCGTGATTATCGGGTAACAATCCGAAATCACAACATTAAGGACAAACCCATATTAGCTCTATCTCCCTTCTCAGCAGCCATTGAAGAGTCTCCAGATGGTACCCATTGCCATCTGGCTAACTACCTGTCTTGCCTTTCCCTGAGTAACCTGGGTGTGTGACCAGAGGGTCTGGCCGGCTCACTACACTCGGAGGAAAGGCAAGACAGACATGTAACCAGATTGTGACTGGTACCATCAGTACTGGAACTCTGCACTGGCTGTTGAAGATGAGGACAAAGCACACATGTAAATGCCCCGAGTGCTGTGATGTCAATTCTCAACTCAACTCCCCGAGTCTTGAGTAGTGCCCAGAGCCCAAAGACACTCCCTACTTCAGCATTCCCTCCAGGTGCAGGTTTTCAGTATCTTCTACTTTGAGACCTGGCCCCACAAGCGGAAGATCACCTCTGCCTTGTAGAGTTGCAGTACACCCTAAAATGGGGCCAGTCCAGCCAACCTATCTGCCTGCTCATTTCCAAATACATCTAAATGCCCAAACAAAATATCCCTGTAACTATTCCCAACCTGCAATCTCTGGACTGGTGTGACCTATTCCATTTTTTTTAAAAACCTGCCTCAACTCCTCAACAGTTACCACCTCAACCTCCATTCTCATGCTGGATGTTTAATGTCTTATGCCAAGCTATCCTTAGTCAACCTTCTCTCACATTCTTTTGCAATGAAGCCTTTTCCACTCTTTCTACACCTGCCTACTGACCCATCAGTTACATAATCACATTTCTTGGCCTGGAGTTTCCTCTATCAGCTGCTGAATCACAATGTCTGCACGTCCTACCGTCCATTTCCTGCACCCCTTTCGTAGGGTAAATAACACTTTGTACAGCCCTTCTCTCCCACCAGTATCTTTACCCATTCTTCTCCTCTGCCAATCTCTTTAAAGCTGCAGACGCTGTTGATTGTCTTTTCAGCCTGGGACATTGAGGATTTGCTCTTCTTAACTCTGTCACCCTTCACGACAACCAGTTCCCCTGAAGAATATGTTCAGTATCCCTTGCAACTCTAACATAGTCATCCAATTCCCCTGAAGAATGTGTTCAGTATCCCTTGCAACTTTAACATAGTTCCCCTGAAGAATATGTTCAGTATCACTTGCAACTCTAACATAGTACCCAGCTTGCAGTACAACATGTCTATCAGCAACAGTCGGCATAGCGAGGATATGTCTCATACACAACTAGTGGGAATCCCAAAATGCTTTGCATACCCTTATTCTGTATGTGCTCAAATTTCTCTAATGGCTAATATCCCCTGACTGTATTCAATGACTGATATAAATGGCACCGACTAAGTGGTAAAAGATTCCTTGTTATACTGCAGCAGCAGCCATAACCCTCAGCACATCAAGTCCTCTCTTTGCTCTTACAATGACTGCATCAATGTGGTCGTCGTAAGACAGTCTTTTGTTAAATATAACTTCCAAATATTTTATTGCTTTGTCCCTTTGGGCCACTTCTCTATTTACAGTGATATATTGTCAGTGACAAAAAGTTGTTACAGCAAAATATTTTTTCATCATAATAACTCTATGACTGAGTAATTGTGTGGGATTGTGTGCTTTTAATGTGTGTGGTGTTTGCATGTGATGTTTGTGTGATGTGCACAAGCTGTGTCTCATTTGGTTATGTGTGGTGTGTTTGTGTGATGTGTCATGCCGTGTCTCATTTGGTTATGTGTGGTGTGTTTGTGTGATGTGTCATGCTGTGTCTCATTTGGTTATGTGTGGTGTGTTTGTGTGGTGTGTCATGCTGTGTCAAATTTGGTTATGTGTGGTGTGTTTGTGTGATGTGCACAAGCTGTGACTCATTTGGTTATGTGTGATGTGTTTGTGTCATGTGTCATGCTGTGACTCATTTGGTTATGTGTGGTGTATTTGTGTGATGTGCACAAGCTGTGTCTCATTTAGTTATGTGTTGTGTGTTTGTGTGATGTGCACAAGCTGTGTCTGATATGGTTGTGTGTTTGTGTGATGTGCACATGCTGTGTCTCATTTAGTTATGTGTGGTGTGATGTGTCATGGTGTCATGCTGTGTCTCATTTGGTTATGTGTGGTGTGTTTGTGTGATGTGCACAAGCTGTGTCTGATATGGTTGTGTGTTTGTGTGATGTGCACAAGCTGTGTCTGATATGGTTGTGTGTTTCTGTGATGTGCACAAGCTGTGTCTAATATGGTTATGTGTTGTGTGTTTGTGTAATGTGCACAAGCTGTGTCTGATATGTTTGTATGTTGTGTGTTTGTGTGATGTGCACAAGCTGTTTCTGATATAGTTATATGTTGTGTGTTTGTGTAATGTGCACAAGCTGTGTCTGATATATTTATATGTTGTGTGTTTGTGTGATGTGCACAAGCTGTTTCTGATATGGTTATATGTTGTGTGATGTGCACAAGCTGTTTCTGATATGGTTATATGTTGTGTGATGTGCACAAGCTGTGTCTGATATGGTTATATGTTGTGTGTTTGTGTAATGTGCACAAGCTGTGTCTAATATGTTTATATGTTGTGTGTCCGTGTGATGTGCACAAGCTGTTTTTGATATGGTTATGTGTTGTGTGTTTGTGTGATGTGCACAAGCTGTGTCTGATATGGTTATCTGTTGTGTGTTTGTGTGATGTGTTTGTGGTTATATGTTGTGTGATGTGCACAAGCTGTTTCTGATATGGTTATATGTTGTGTGATGTGCACAAGCTGTGTCTGATATGGTTATATGTTGTGTGTTTGTGTAATGTGCACAAGCTGTGTCTAATATGTTTATATGTTGTGTGTTCGTGTGATGTGCACAAGCTGTTTTTGATATGGTTATGTGTTGTGTGTTTGTGTGATGTGCACAAGCTGTGTCTGATATGGTTATCTGTTGTGTGTTTGTGTGATGTGCACAAGCTGTGTCTGATATGGTTATCTGTTGTGTGTTTGTGTGATGTGCACAAACTGTGTCTGATATGGTTGTGTGATGTGTACAAGCTGTGTCTGATATGGTTATGTGTTGTGTGTTTGTGTGATGTGCACAAGCTGTGTCTGATATTGTTATCTGTTGTGTGTTTGTGTGATGTGCACAAGCTGTGTCTGATATGGTTGTGTGTTTGTGTGATATGCACAAGCTGTGTCTGATATGGTTATATGTGTGGTGTGTTTGTGTGACGTGAAAAAGCTGTGTTTGATATGGTTATGTGTTGTGTGTTTGTGTGATGTGCACATGCTGTGTCTGATACGGTTATATGTTGTCTGTTTGTGTGATGTGCACATGCTGTGTCTGATACGGTTATATGTGTGGTGCATTTGTGTGATGTGCACAAGCTGGGTCTGATATGGTTATGTGTTGTGTGTTTGTGTGATGTGCACATGCTGTGACTGATATTGTTATGTTTTTGTGTGATGTGCACATGCTGTGTCTGATACGGTTATATGTATGGTGTGTATATGTAAAGTCAAGGAACCTCTCCCACACCCTGAGCTAGACTGGGTACGAGGTGCTAGTCTCATCCTATCATAGAACTACTGGAGGGGTAGTCTGGTTGATCTGTAGATAATGATTGGTGAACTGACATACAAAAGGAAAGAGGAGCTTTCACAGCACTAGGGAATTTGTGGAGGTCACCAGAAATATAAACTACTACTAAACTGAAAATGCTTAATTCTAATGTTAAATCAGCACTGTTGTAAGGCTTAACATAATGTTAACTCGGCTGTTGTAAGCTTGGTTCTAATGCCTAAATTCCATTGAGGGGCTTAAGAATGGCAAATCAGCAGCACTCTGGTTTAAGGCTTACTGCTCGGCTTTTACTTCAGCCACTGTTGTAAGGTGAATTATATGTAATGCATTTATATGTTGTAAGGCTGTGATTCTAATGTGTAGTGTCATGCATGCATGTGGATATATGAATAAATTATAATTTAAAAGTTTGTTTGTGTGTGTATTAAATGTATATGGTGTTGTAAGTATTCTGTGTGACTGTATATGAGGTGTATTCTAATGTTTACATCATGTAGGCAAGTATGAATGTATGTTTAAATACATGAGTGAAGGCTTATGTTTATGAGTGTTGTATCTGCATGGGTGGTTTGTGTATATGTGTCTATGCAATGCATGTGTGGGTTTGTATGCTTAATTCTGTGTTAAATCGGCATGTATGTGGGTGTGCTAATTGTATGTATTCATGTGTTTGTGGGAATGTGTGTATGCATTTGCCACTGATGTTGTAATTCTAATGTATGTGGGTGTAGGTATGTATGCATGTATGTGTGTAAAGATGTAGGTGTGTGTATGTAATGGCTTATGTATTGTATGTTACATGTGACTGTGGAATGTTAATGGTTGTGGGTGTTCTGTACATGTTGAATGTATATTTGTGTGTATGCATGTGTAGGTGTGTATGTTATGTGGGAATGTGTGTGTGCATATATGTCTATATATGTATGTGTGTGTCTTTTCTGTTTGTGTATATATGTAGATGTATATATATTTAGGTACGTCTGTATATGAGTGTGCAAGTATGAGAATGTGAGAGCATATATATATATGTCTGTGAGTGTGTAAGATTGTGTACCCACATGATGTATGTATTATATTCTATAATGTATATTTTTATTCTATATCTATATCATGCATTTTAAATAACAGGCATTGGTACTCCGGAAAACGAGTGCTTAGAAGGGCCGAATGTCAGACGGGCCTGCGTGCCCAATTTGTAACCCTTTGAAAATAAAGTTTGTTCGTTCGTTCGTTCGTTCCCACCACATTTCTTAGCATCCATTTGTAACCTGAGTCGACCCAAGTTCAACATGCCAACAGCACGGCCTGAAACTCAGAACCACTGGCCAGGAGGCAGGGTTGCTAGCTAATGTGGTTTCTTATGTGTGAGAAGATGCCAGGCCACTCTGGCCTCAAGTAACAAGAAATACCCTGTAGAAGTAAAGAAAGCCAGCATGATATTGACTGTATTACCCTTAAATTGTACCTAAAATGTAATTTTGCAAGTCAGGTGTGCCTACACTATATGTGTGCCTACGGTACAGGTGTGCCTACGGTACAGGTGTGCCTACGGTACAGGTGTGCCCATGGTACAGGTGTGTCTATGGTACAGGTGTGCCAACGGTAAAGGTGTGCCCATGGTACAGGTTTACCCATGGTACAGGTGTGCCTACGGTAAAGGTATGCCTATGATACAGGCGTACTCACCAGAAATAACTCCACAGAAATAAACTATAACCATCCGCCAGGTGGAGAAGATAACCTCCAGTGGAAAGCCCAAGACTATCTGTATGATGACGTTGAAGATCAAATCCACATATCTGGAGATTATATGTGACACTGTTCGTCAATAAATCTACCAAGCAGAAATAATAGTTCACATAAACACACAGACAACTACAGTGTCATGTGCTGAAACATCAACCATTCACTCAAATGCTGAAACATCAACCATTCACTCAAATGCTGAAACATCAACCATTCACTCAAAGGCTGAAACATCAACCATTCACTCAAATGCTGAAACATCAACCATTCACTCAAAGGCTGAAACATCAACCTTTCACTCGAAGGCTAAAACATCAACCATTCACTCAAAGGCTGAAACATCAACCATTCACTCAAATGCTGAAACATCAACCATTCACTCAAATGCTAAAACATCAATCATTCACTCAAAGAGAAAGCGGAAGCAAACACGCAGATTGGATCCTGTTAAGGAATCATCCAGTCTTCAAGGAAGAGATCACAAATCCTAGAATATTTGAGCACATTTTAAACTAACATTTAACAAAGCCAGGATACATGAAGACAACTAAATTATGGCACAAATTCCAAGATAAATTTCCCTTCCCTCCCCCACCCCTTTTTTCAGACATTCAACAAACCGCCATCAAATACTTCTAAATTCTAGTTTACAGCAGATGCCACAGAGAGAAAATGAAAAGTCAAAACTGTATCACTTCTAGAGAAGCAACACACACAGTGCTGCATGTCAAAATATGCAGCCAGATTTATTCAGCATATTCAGGCCAAATGTAAAAGATATAATAATACACCACCACTGCTGGACAGACGAACACAACAGCTAGTGACACTGCTACATGACTTCGGTCAGAAAGAATCAAGTGCTCAATCCTGTCATTCAGTTTGTTGAATTAGTTCACAAAATAAAAATACATCACAAACTCTTTAACTAAATTCGAACATTATTTGAACAATAACAAAACACATGAAGATACCCACCCTGGGTGCAGGAAGCAGTAAGTCACAAACCGCCAGGCTTCGTGCCGCCTGGTTGGATGATACATGGCCTTGTTGCAGCCCAGAGTTGTGATCTTGGTGTTGTTGCCATAGACGTTATGCAGGGGGTAGGCGCTCACGCCGTCCTCTTGTGAGTTTATGATGAACACAACAATCTGTTTAGATGGCAAAATGTGTGTCAGTGAGTGTTAACATCACCATCTTCGTAGCATTCACCGGTTGTAAACTCTGGCAGAAAGTTCTGGTTGTTCATCCACTTCTGGACTTTAGTATTTTTAACCCTTTAATTAACCAGACATACATCATATAGGACAAACATTGAGAAAACCAGAGAACAATATAACTAGAATGTCTTTGCAATGACACCCACAGGGGCATAGGAATAAAGGAAGACCCAAAAATGCATGGAGAAGGGAGCTGGAGAATAAAGTAAAAAATATAGAATGACTTGGCGTGAGTTGGTTGAGGGCCTATGCTCCATTGGGGGCTAGAGAGGCAGAAGAAGAAGACATACATACATATATACACACACACACACATATATATGCATATGATGTGTGTATATATTTGGCTTCTAAGGACAAGAAAGGTACCTATCAGAGAGTTGATGTTTGCAGATGCATCAGTAATTACCACCAACTCAAAAGGAGGAGCTGCAATGTTACTTACTATCTACACTTGTTGATGCCTGCTCTGAATTTGGACTAACAATCAGCAAAAAGAAGAAAACAGTATGGTGCAATGTGTTAATGACAGACCTGCAGTCTACACTGATGGCGAAAAACACTTTTTTTTAAAATGTTAAAAACACATATTTTTGTCATTTTGTCAGCACCCTCTGCACCTCTTGCAATTCCCTGCCCCCCCCCCCCCCCCCCCCCCAGATAACTAATTATGTCACTGCATAAAGAGTCAATGACTTACTTGTACCACAGATATAGCAATCATAAAGAACGGCGGTGGGAGGCATTTATATTTGGCAAGTCGATCGTCCACCATGACCTGATGTGTGGTGTTCCTGCAGACCACACTCAGGACACCTGCTGCTCGGCCGAGGTAGCCTTTGCTTCCGCTCGAGTCAGACTGGGATCCAAAAATGCTGGAGTCTTCTCGTTTACCCAGAACCTGAAAAAAAAAAAACACAGTCAACTCATGGAACCAGCTGACCTTTCAGTGTCGACAATTTGCTTGAGTGTTTCACAATTATAAATAAAACTCCACTGTAAACCCACTAAACATGTCACCAATAAATCTTAATTGAATACATCACCAACAAATCTCCACTAAATCTCCACTAAACATGTCACTAATAAATAACCAGTACATCTCCATGTAATGTCACCAATAAATCCCTACTAAACTTGTCACCAATAAATCTTGGCTAGAAGTGTCACCAATAAATCCCCATTATACTTGTCACCAATAAATCCCCATTAAACTTGTCACCAATAAATCCCCATTAAACTTGTCACCAATAAATCTCTGCTAGAAGTGTCACCAATAAATCCTCATTAAACTTGTCACCAATAAATCTCTGCTAGAAGTGTCACCAATAAATCCTCATTAAACTTGTCACCAATAAATCCCCATTAAACTTGTCACCAATAAATCTCTGCTAGAAGTGTCACCAATAAATCCTCATTAAACATGTCACCAGTAATCTCTGCTAAGTGTCATCAGTAAATCCCCACTAAACATGTCACCAATAAATCACTAAACATGTCACCAATAAATCCCTACTAAACATCTCACCAATAAATCACTAAACATGTCACCAATAAATCCCCACTAAACATGTCACCAATAAATCCCCACTAAACATGTCACCAATAAATCACCAAACATGTCACCAATAAATGCCCACTAAACATGTCACCACTAAATCCCCACTAAACATGTCACCAATAAATCCCCACTAAACATGTCACCAATAAATCCCCACTAAACATGTCACCAATAAATCCCCACTAAACATGTCACCAATAAATCCCCACTAAACATGTCACCACTAAATCCCCACTAAACATGTCACCAATAAATCCCCACTAAACATGTCACCAAAAAATCCCCACTAAACATGTCACCAATAAATCATCACTAAACATGTCACCAATTAATCACGAAACATTTCACCAATAAATCCCAACTAAACATGTCACCAATAAATTACCACCAATAAATCTCCACTAAACATTTCACCAATAAATCTCCACTGAACACGTCACCAATAAATCTCCACTGAACATTTCACCAATAAATCTCCACTGAACACGTCACCAATAAATCTCCACTAAACATTTCACCAATAAATCTCCACTGAACACGTCACCAATAAATCTCCACTAAACATTTCACCAATAAATCTCCACTGAACACGTCACCAATAAATCTCCACTAAACATTTCACCAATAAATCTCCACTAAACATTTCACCAATAAATCTCCACTAAACATTTCACCAATAAATCTCCACTGAACACGTCACCAATAAATCTCCACTAAACATTTCACCAAAAAATCTCCACTGAACACGTCACCAATAAATCTCCACTAAACATGTCACCAATAAATCTCCACTAAACACGTCACCAAAAAATCTCCACTGAACACGTCACCAATAAATCTCCACTAAACATGTCACCAATAAATCTCCACTAAACATGTCACCAATAAATCTCCACCAATAAATCTCCACTGAACATGTCACCAATAAATCTCCACTAAACACGTCACCAATAAAGCACTACATTGATCACCATCAAATCTCCATTCACATGAACAGATACTGCTACAAACACTCTAACCGGCAGCTCTGTGATAACAGCAGCAGTAGAATGTCCAACACAATGCCAACATCAGCAAGGTCACAGACATCACAGGTTTATGGCAGATACTACCGACAGTGACATGGCAGATACTACCGACAGTGACATGGCAGATACTACCGACAGTGACATGGCAGATACTACCAACAGTGACATGGTAGATACTGCTGACAGTGACATGGCAGATACTGCAGACAGTGACATGGTAGATACTGCTGACAGTGACATAGCAAATACTGCCGACAGTGACATGGTAGATACTGCAGACAGTGACATGGCAAATACTGCCGACAGTGACATGGTAGATACTGCTGACAGTGACATGGCAAATACTGCCGACAGTGACATGGTAGATACTGCTGACAGTGACATGGCAAATACTGCCGACAGTGACATGGTAGATACTGCTGACAGTGACATGGCAAATACTGCCGACAGTGACATGGTAGATACTGCTGACAGTGACATGGCAAATACTGCCGACAGTGACATGGTAGATACTGCTGACAGTGACATGGCAAATACTGCCGACAATGACATGACATAGCAAATACTGCGGACAGTGACATGGCAGATACTTTTGACAGTGACATGGCAGATACTTTTGACAGTGACATGGCAGTTACTGCAGACAGTGACATGGCGGATACTGCAGACAGTGACATGGCAGATACTGCAACAGTGACATGGCAGATACTGCAGACAGTGACATGGCAGATACTTTTAACAGTGAAATGGCAGATACTACGGACAGTGACATGGCAGATACTGCAGACAGTGACATGGCAGATACTTTTAACAGTGACATGCAGATATTAAGGACAGTGACATGGCAGATACTTTTGACAGTGACATGGCAGATACTGCAACAGTGACATGGCAGATACTTTTGACAGTGACATTGCAGATACTGCAACAGTGACATGACAGATACTGCAACAGTGACATGGCAGATACTGCAGACAGTGACATGGCAGATACTTTTGACAGTGACTTGGCAGATACTGCAACAGTGACATGGCAGATACTGCAGACATTGACATGGCAGATACTTTTGACAGTGACATGGCAGATACTTTTGACAGTGACATAGCAGATACTGCAACAGTGACATGGCAGATACTTTTGACAGTGACATGGCAGATACTGCAACAGTGACATGGCAGATACTGCAACAGTGACATGGCAGATACTGCAGACAGTGACATGGCATATACTTTTGACAGTGACATGGCAGATACTGCAACAGTGACATGGCAGATACTGCAACAGTGACATGGCAGATACTTTTGACAGTGACATGGCAGATACTTTTGACAGTGACATGGCAGATACTTTTGACAGTGACATGGCAGATACTTTTGACAGTGACATGGCAGATACTTTTGACAGTGACATGGCAGATACTGCAGACAGTGACATGGCAGATACTGCAACAGTGACATGGCAGATACTGCAACAGTGACATGGCAGATACTTTTGACAGTGACATGGCAGATACTGCAACAGTGACATGGCAGATACTGCAACAGTGACATGGCAGATACTGCAGACAGTGACATGGCAGATACTTTTGACAGTGACATGGCAGATACTTTTGACAGTGACATGGCAGATACTGCAACAGTGACATGGCAGATACTTTTGACAGTGACATGGTAGATACTGCAACAGTGACATGGCAGATACTGCAACAGTGACATGGCAGATACTGCAGACAGTGACATGGCAGATACTGCTGACAGGGTGCCAGAATGAGGTGAGGATGACTAGCTCCTTTAACCGTTTTCCTTCCTTGTCACACAAAACCCATTTGTATGAAAATGTTCCAATTTTTATTAATAACTGTTGGATGTATTATCTCAGCCTTTTTTTTTAACTTTTAAACTGCAAGTTATTTCAACAGAATAAAATAGCCTGATAGGCGTCAAATTCCACTTTTTTTTTTTAACTAATATATTTTTAAGTTTTATGAGATTAACTCATGTAATTTAAAATGGTTGGGGTCTCTTATAACTTTTCTTTTCTGTAACTGTTTTTATTTAACAATATTTTTTTTTTTTGATCAATGTGATATGAACATTTCCGTGGAAAGCGTTAATTTTTCAGTTTTTTTTAATAGGTTGATATAACTCTGTAACGGTGCGGTGCATATGACAAGACACAATGAAATAAATAAGACAATAAATTCTGCAATCTATTGTTTGTGCTCACATTATTTAAAATTTTTAATTTATGTTATTGCAGAAAGAATCTCATCCAAGTTTTATGAAACCCACAATTTACAAATTGTAACTGTATGCTTACCTTTTTAGTTGAATAAACAAAAGACCACAAATGTGTTTGTAAAATAACTCACAATTCTCACAAACTCCTCATAACCAACCGCCCGGCCCATGTTGAAATCGGTCAAGTCTGCCAGCTCATGCACCTTTTCTGGGGGCAGGCGGTTTCTGTACTCGGGGTCACGGAGGACTCGTCTGAGGTCATGGCAGGCAATCTTCTCTCCTCCATACACAAACTGAGAGAAGAAAACACTAAACATCTTACCCATATTCAACATGTTACAAAAACAGATTATTTAAGACAAGACAAGATCTCAATTATGTGTAACAAATAGTCAACAGATCATCCTCATGCACCGAACATTCAGTCCATAAATACTCTGATCCCCTCCTCAGCAAATCCAACATTGTACCGAGGCTGATGATACCAGTTCTGTGTTGTTTTATTCTTCTGCTGCGGCTTCCTGCATAGTTCTCTGGTCTGGCCACAGTCCATCTAACCGACTGTCCAGTTCTCTGGTCTGGCCACAGCCCATCTAACCGACTGTCCAGTTCTCTGGTCTGGCCACAGCCCATCTAACCGACTGTCCAGTTCTCTGGTCTGGCCACAGCCCATCTAACCGACTGTCCAGTTCTCTGGTCTGGCCACAGCCCATCTAACCGACTGTCCTGGCATTCTGACTATGTTTGTGAATTGACAAGACCATATTTCCTTCTTGCAAATATCTTACTTCTCACACAGCATTAGTAAATCAGCTTGGTCCACACCTCATCCACCCTCCCCCCTTTCCCCACAGTAGCCGTAACTGCAAGCCTATCATCTTATTCCTGTCCTTATACACCCACATCCTTGGCAAGAAAAGGAAAGTGATCTGTGTGAGCCATGATCGCCTCAGAGACACCGACCACTGTCTTCAGACCCAGTCTCCCTAAACATATTGAGTCACCAAGAAAACACATGCCCAAGTGAAGGTCTTTGTCTCTCCAGCCATTTTACTGCTTTGATCACTCGCATAACAAATTACAGAAAGAAGTAGATCAAGACTAGACATTTGCTACAATTTGTACTGTACATCCCAGACAGTCAGTAAATGAATCTGGCCATGTTCTCTAACCAACATTCTCAATAACCACATCTTGACTGCATGTCCTTCTTGAGTCAGCATGTATTTTGCAATATTTCAGCTCGATGAACTACACATTTTATTTTATTATGGACAAGTCATTTCCTTACGCCTCAGAACAGGGCACAACCGATTACGTAACCACATGTACACAAAATTCAGGATAGGCGTATCAGCCATGTGCACCTGCGGAAAGGTGCCCCAGACAGCAGAGCATGTACTCCAGGACTGCACTGAATTTGACACATTAGGGCAAACCTTTTGGCCAGAAAGAACAACAGTGGAGGTAAACTCTATGGACCACTGAATGAACTAATAACGACAGTGAAATTTATACAAGAGACAAAATTGCTGATATAGACAACTTATTTCAGGCGAACGAAAGAAGAAGAAGAAGAACTACACCTTTCTGTTGGAGCAATTCCTAGACAGCGTGGCCTTTCCTAGTCATCATCATGCCCAAAATGGCATCTGCTGAGGAACACACCTAATGTGATCTCCACTTCTGAGAAACTTGTTCAACCTGTAACATTACTTTTCAATATAATTTACCGATGACAAGTAAAACACACGTATGTGATGCTGCTGTACTCACCCGCTGAAACAACGGTCGGAAGTGCTGTGAAGGGAAAGAGGGAAAAAAATAAAACATAATTAGTTTGAAACCAACAGTTTAACAAGATTATATCTAGACAAGAAACAACAAGCCTCTGTTTAATGAGATATCCTCATAGGTTGCCTTGAGTCTTGCAGTGTGTGATATGTTTTGTTATAAAATATATTCTTAGCTGTGACTCTAATTTCAATGTTTATATATAATGACATTTAGCCTATCCCCCCAACCCTCACCAACCCTTCTCACTTCATCTCTCTCTTACTCTCTCTTACTTTCTCTTTCTCTTACTCTCTTTCTCTCTCTCTTTCTCTCTTACTCTCTCTCTCTTACTCTCTCTCTCTTAATCTCTCTCTCTTCCACTCTCTCTCTTCCACTCTCTCTCTTACTCTCTCTCTCTCTTACTCTCTCTCTCTCTTACTCTCTCTCTCTCTTCCTCTCTCTCTCTTCCTCTCTTTCTCTTACTCTCTCTCTCTCTTACTCTCTCTCTCTCTCTCTCTTACTCTCTCTCTATCTCTTACTCTCTCTCTCTTACTCTCTCTCACTTACTCTCTCTCTAACTCTCTCTTACTCTCTTACTCTCTCTGTCTCTCTCTCTGTCTGTGCATGCATGCGTACGCGTGCGCGCACGCACACACACACACACACATATTCATATATAATCGACTTTCTTGTGTTTTCATGATAATATAGCTGATTGAGATAGAATGACTGCAGAGAAATTGTTATCAAACCACCTGAGGAGGATGCAATGATCATAGCCTGATTATCATGTGACTTGAAGACAGAATGAGGATAGCACAAAAAAGTAACATACCACATAAACATAAACAGGAGCTCTTTGGTAAATAAAAGAAACAAAAATAAACTCTAGCACTTTAAGAATATAAATCTTCGGCTAACATTAAAAAGAGAACTGTACCTAATACAAACAGCTTATAATCATATAAGACAAAAGACACAAAGTGTACAGCTGATAATAATATAAGACAAGACACCCAAAGTGTACAACCGACAATCATATAAGACAAGAGACACAAAGTGTACAGCTGATTATCATATAAGACAAGAGACACAAAGTGTACAGCTTATAATCATATACAGCAAAGTGTACAGCTGATAATCATATAAGACAAGAGACACAAAGTGTACAGCTGATAATCATATAAGACAAGAGACACAAAGTGTACAACTGATAATCATATAAGACAAGAGACACAAAGTGTACAGCTGATAATCATATAAGACAAGAGACACAAAGTGTACAGCTGATAATCATATAAGACAAGAGACACAAAGTGTACAGCTGATAATCATATAAGACAAGAGACACAAAGTCAGACAAATAAAAACATACCAATTCCAGAACTCGTCTCAGCTGTAAATCCTCATTGCGTTTCTCATCCAGATCTCCATCCACAGTGAAGAAAGCGCTGTTACTGGACCGGCTGGATTTGTCTCCTAGGATTTGACCATAGTCCATCAACATCTCTCGCCAGCGGGATCCCATGCTTTCTGTTGGTGCTACAGTGGCAAATAATTGTTTTATTTATGTTTGCTTTTTAATCTAATTATCACTGACTTTATCGTGTACACATTATCACTGACTTTATTGTGTACAAATGGGTTAATTTTGTGACTGAGTCTTTCTTCCTCTACAATGTGCTGTAGAAGAGGTACTTGACAGTCATGTCTCCAGGACACCAGAATAAAAGGATAGAGGAGGAGATGAAGAATAGTAGTGGTGATAGTAGCATCATAGGCAACAGCAATAGCAGCAGCTGTAGAAGTAGTAGTAGTAGAAGTAGTAGTAGTAGAAGTAGTAGTAGTAGAAGTAGAAGTAGTAGTAGTAGTAGTAGTAGTAGTAGTAGTAGTAGTAGTAGTAGTAGTAGTAGTAGCAGCAGTAGTAGCAGTGGCAGCAGTAGTAGTAGTGGCAGCAGTAGTAGTAGTGGCAGCAGTAGTAGTAGTGGCATAAGTGACAGTAGTGGCAGCAGTAGTAGCGGTAGCAGTAGTAGTAGTGGTAGTTGCAGCAGTGGTAGTAGTAGTAGTGGTAGCAGCAGTAGCAGTAGTGGCAGAAGTAGCAGTAGTCACGAAATTCACACAGAAATAGACTTTGAAGAGTTGCAGAGTCGGCCACAAAGAATAAGCACCATTTATTGCTTAATGTTTATTTAATTAAGCATCCACAAAACAATGAAATACCCACTTTAAGTGCGATATGTCCACTTCAGAAACGATTTCAATACAGCCGAGTCGCTAAAGAAATTCACTTCGCGTTGTTACTACAATAAAGGTCTTGAAAACAACTCCAAATATACAATATCCCTCAAGTACCAGTACATTCACAACCAATATGGCATCAGAATTCGAACAAGTTTACCGTGTAATATCCTAAACTGCCCGAGAGTCCTACGGAAATATTGTCGTAGACTCCCAACACTGGCAACCTTAGCTTAGATCGCCGTAGATCAGTTGACTGAACGGTTGTGCAGTCAGGAATGGTTCGGGCGACACACCCGCCTTGGTTTATGAAGGGAGGTATTTTTAAACTACCCTGGCAGTTAGTTCATGGGTGAAGGGAGTTGTTGGGCTCGGTGTGTCAGTGATATGTGTGATTCGAGAGGTGGGGACGTTACGGGTGACAGGTGAAACATTTCAATTGCCTTCCACTGTGGTAAACAGGACCACGGAGACATTCCCTGTATATATCCCCCCCCCCCCCTTTTCCCCTTTTTTTCAGTTTCATTATTTAAATGTCCTGTTCTTCTTTTCCTCTCGTTTCTCACGCATGTATCTCCCGCTTCGCATCGCTCGATCATTTATCCCTCCCTCCCTCCATACTTTTTTACTCTTTCCTATCCTCTCTCAATATCTGTTTTCAACACCCCTCCCCATCCCAACCTCCCCCCCCCCACCTCCCGATGTCTTTTCTATCTCCTCGACTCCAAATGCATCTCTCTCTCTCTCTCTCTCTCTCTCTCTCTCTCTCTCTCTCTCTCTCTCTCTCTCTCTCTCTCTCTCAACGCCTTTCTTTCATCTTCAACTCGCCTCTTCTCTTTTCGCTTCCTCCTTTGATCTCCATAATTCCACCCACAAATCTTTCTACCTTTTCACCAAGGAGAGGTATCGACAGCTCTCTCTCTCTCTCTCTACCTTTCAAGACGTCTCGTCCATAACTATTTCTACCATTCAATGAAATTCCTCTAGTCTCCCGGTTATATCTAATTTCAGCCACACCCAACTAGTTCATAAATCTATCCATCTACCGACTAGACCTCTGTAGTCCCACAATTCTATCCATTGTCCAACTAGATCTCCCAGGACCCAAACTTACACCAATCCTCAATCAGCTACAGTAGACTACACAATCTCTCCAACCTACCCTGCATGCAGCCATGCAAGATATCACCAAGACCAAACAAAAGAACACCACTGTACGTTACGTACCGACAACCCTTTCATAAGCTTTTGTTGAACTGTGCGAGGTCTGACTTCTGGGACTGTAAGTCTCTGGAAATGTGAATATCAATTAACTTCACTGTTGTGACAGTGTTTCGTAGCTTAACTTCTGTTTATTTCAGTCGTACAGTCAGGGACTCCATCGCTGACGGTGAGGCCGCTTGGCTATGTGGTGCCAGACTCGTGTGTTGAGACCTTTCGAACTCTGTCGATATACCGCCGGAAATTTCCTGGCACCAGACTGAGGCTGGGTCAACCTGGGAGGCCGGGTCAGTGGGACAAAGTCCCGGGTCATATCAACACGACCTTAAACAGAAAGTTTAGTTCATGCCCGACAGTCCATGAGCGTGATTGTCTGCATGACCTGACAAGTGTGGTTTATTTTTCGTCGAGTAATGTTACTGTACACATATATCCCCAGCCTTGTCTTAAAGATCAGTAAGAGAACATTTCAGTACATTACACTTACTGTATATAGCTGGAATAAATTACCATTTCCACACCACAAGCCATGCATTAATCGGCAGTGGACAATATAAACGCTAACCCACACAACAATCTTTAATCTCGCCACTATACTTTTAAGAGGTAGCTGGGGGGGGGGGGGGGTGATGAAGAAGAAGAAGAAGAAGAAGAAGAAGAAGAAGAAGAAGAAGAAGAAGAAGAAGAAGAAGAAGAAGAAGATTAGGCGAAAGGAGGAGGAGAAGAAGAAAACCCATTCGACTACGTTATCTATTTGCCTAGAGATGGGGGCAAGGGGTTAGAACCTGGACTAATGGACAATCAGGCATGCATGCTGGGCACTGCATTACTGCCACGCCCTCCCCCCCCCCCCCCCTCTCCCAACCCGCTTTCAGAAGTTAAGCAGAAACAGAAAAACTTTATTATCCGTAAAACATGTCTAATAATAATAAACAAGTCGAACAATTCCTCGAGGCCTCGCAGATGTGCTTTTACCGAAGAATCCTCACAACATATCACAAACATCAGACAGAGCGTCGACATTTTCGGTCACGAAATAGGAACATGTCGTAAGAACTGCAAAGATTAATGGAAAAACAAGACAGATGAAGACAACACGAGACAAATATTGACTGCCTTTTGTCATGGCACTGAGTGGTATCAACACACGAACTCACACAAGTTGTTGCAGATGGCAGATTGTCGATAGACATGATCACCCAATCTGGCAGACATGGCGCTTCTTGATGACGATGAAAAATATATCCCGTCAGGTGTTTGTCGGCTCTGTGGCTAAGTCAATGCGAACGCTTCGTAATGCCGGGATGCCGAGTTCGATTCCAGCTGCGGGCCATGCGCCTTGCGTTGGTTTCGACAGTGGTATCAAGAAAGCCGACCGTCCAGTAGGCAATGGCAAACTACTGGACGTAAATTTGCCTAGAAAAACCACACCTTCTGCAACCTCCTGTAAAGGATACGCAACTAACCTCAGTTGTTTACTTTCAATATGTACGTCGAATAGACGGTTTACGGTATTCTACATTCTTGGGACCCAAGCCAACGAACCACGACAAGCGCTGAAAGCGGTGACGCAAAGACCCCAACAGTGACAGTGACTGCAATGGGTCGTCCGTCGCTTGAAGTTTACCTTCTGCACAATAAACTCCAGGGACACACCCAACAGATCTCTGTGGGATACCATGGGGTCCACTTCACCGACCCTATGTGTGTGTATGTGTGTAGGAGTCGTATCTCTCTCTTTTTGTGTACGGTTACTGTATGTAAGTATGACGTGTACATGTATGCTGGTGGTTGTGTCTGTGTCTGAATGTGCAGGAAACACCATCATCGAATAATTATAACTCAACTTTGTGTGAAAACACTTGCCTAAGGAGTCAGAGAGAGAGAAAGAGAGAGAGAGAGAGAGATAGAGAGATGTGGAGAGACAGACAGATGTGCGGGGAGAGACAGATGTGTGGGTAGAGATAAACATATGTGCGGGGAGAGACAGACAGATGTGTGGGTAAAGATAAACATATGTATTGGTTAGAGATTAACATATATGCGGGTAGAGACAGACAGATTTGCGGGGGGAGATAAAATATATGTGTGGGTAGAGATAAACATATGTGTGGGTAGAGATAAACATATGTGCCGGAAGAGATAAACTAATGTGTGGGTAGAGATAAACATATGTGCGGGGAGAGACAGACAGATTTGCGGGGAGAGATAAAATATGTGTGGGTAGAGATAAACATATGTGCCGGAAGAAACAGACTGATGTGTGGGTAGAGATAAACATATGTGTGGGTAGAGATAAACATATGTGCGGGGAGAGACAGACAGATGTGTGGGTAGAGATAAACAGATGTGCGAGGAGAGACAGACAGATGTGCGGGGAGAGACAGACATATGTGTGGGTAGAGATAGACAGATGTGCGGGGAGAGACAGACAGATAAGTGGGTAAAGATAAACATATGTGCGGGGAGAGACAGACAGATGTGTGGGTAGAGACAGACAGATGTGCGGGGAGAGACAGACAGATGTGTGGGTAGAGATAGACAGATGTGCGGGGAGAGACAGACAGATGTGTGGGTAGAGATAGGCAGATGTGCGGGGAGAGATAGACAGACGTGCGGGGAGAGATAGACAGATGTGTGGGTAGAGACAGACAGATGAGTGGGTGAAGATAAACATATGTGCGGGGAGAGACAGACAGATGTGCGGGGTGAGACAGACAGATGTGCGGGGTGAGACAGACAGATTTGTGGGGAGAGATAAAATATGTGTGGGTAGAGATAAACATATGTGCCGGAAGAAACAGACTGCTGTGTGGGTAGAGATAAACATATGTGCGGGTAGAGATAAACATATGTGTGGGTAGAGAACATATGTGCGGGGAGAGACAGACAGATGTGTGGGTAGAGACAGACAGATGTGTGGGTAGAGATAAACAGATGTGCGAGAAGAGACAGACAGATGTGCGGGGAGAGACAGTCATGTGTGGGTAGAGATAGACAGATGTGTGGGTAGAGACAGACAGATAAGTGGGTAAAGATAAACATATGTGCGGGGAGAGACAGACAGAT